CAGCTATCGAAACAATACCTTAAAATGACTTCTTATCCTTTAGCCCTTCAAAATTTAATTAATTAATGTAAGAAATTAATTTTTTTTTTGATTTTTTATAATTGTTATTTATATGCTTCATAATTTTTGAAAATTATTCCCTTATTTGCTTTGTTGTATAATGAAAAGATATGCAAAATATTTTCCATGTGATAATTTCGTTCGAATTTTGCTTAAAAAAATATTGAATTGATGAGTGAGTCATTATTTGATGAGTGAGTCATTTTTCGCCAGCTGTAAATTCTAAATGAACAATTCTTTAATTGTAATTAATCACCAGAAATTGTTGTATTCTTTGTAAATGTTGGATAAAAATAGCCAAATAAATTAATCAACTTATTAAAATCAATGGAAGCCTGTTTTTATGTACCAAACAAAAGAAAACTTGCACTACAGAGAGTCTTTTTGTAAATCAGAACTCACAATAGCATTTGCTGATTGTTTGTAAACTGAAATGAATTAAGATAATAGATTGATAAAACGATAATTTAGTGATATGATAAAAGCCGATTCAGAAAATAAAATATATCATAATCGAAGATTGCACTCATTAGAATGATGAAAATTTTCTAAAAGAAATTGAATTTAGCGCCATCTTCCAACAACACTCAACAAATCTCATTGAATGGTAATAATGTATTAGATTGCATTGTATTGTGACAGTTTCGATTGAAATAGTCTTAAGTTTACAGTAATAAATTAGTTTAGAAGTGAACAAAAAAGATTAGAGATAAGTAATAATCGATTTTTCTATTTCTTTTTCTGGAAAAAGATTTTAAAACGATTGGATGGATGAATTGATGTGGTAGAAGTGCGTATTGAAGTTTTATTATTAGCTTTATGGTTGGTGGCAGTAGAAAAAGCTCAATGTGGCTAGACAGCGGCAATCAGAAAAGTAAAGAAAAGTTGTTTCAATATGAAAAAGAAAGTTGAATAATGTAAGATTTGTTTTTGGAATAGAAATTGAGAGGAACTATTTGACGAAATTGGTTTGCAATCGAAATTAACTTTTTTAACAGATAGAATTTTTGAGGCAAATGGTAACCCTTTGAATATTAGAAATTCATATAAGAATGAAACGTAATAGTGGCAAGATGATATTAAGAAGAAAAATAATCGGAAATTTTGAAAGTTTCAAAGCGTGACTAAATAATTATTAACAATTCAAATTGGATGAACTCTTTTGAATGTTAAAATTAGCATTATACTTTAATTTTTGCTTTTGATTTGTTTAGCATTAATTTTTGCTGCCAATGATTTAAGCGATTAAAAATCGATTCTTTTGTATAATTTTCATTATATAAAAAAAATATTCTGTAAAAGTTTTGTTTCATAAATTAACTAAATGACTAGAAGAGAGAAATTTTGTTCTATCACTCTTTTTAATTCATTAATTCTGGAAATGCTTTGGGAAAATATCGAAAAGTTAAAGCGGCAAAACTATTTGCTCATTTTATGTAAAAGATTGACAAAAAAATTAGTATTTAAAAAAGTTTTAAATGGAAAATATCATTCTTCAAAGTTTTAATTTTAATCCATCTGGAAAATAAATTAAATGCAATAAATAAAGTTTGAAAATTGCCAAAGCGTTTATTTTTTGATAGAAATGATAAAATTCGGAGTTTATTGCAAAAACATTTGATAAATGCCATTTCGAAATATTTGCAATTATTCGTTAAGACATTGACAGAAATTTTCAATCTCTTAATTTGATATCTTACGTTGAAGTTCTATTTTTTATCACATTGTAAATTAAGATGGTCAGCGATAGTGAACTTGCAACCTTCGGCATTATTAAAACTTTTCTTTTTCTCTCCCTCCAAAATTGAAATTGACCATCTTTTTCAAATGAATAAATATGGTACAATGCGATCGAATCAAGTAATCGATTGAAAAATGTTTAAAAAAATTTCTTCAGTTTTAAACAATCTTAAAAAAGCCACTTCATATCATAAAAAAGTAGAAATGGTAGCCAAAGAAAAAGAAGAAATATTTCCAAAATCGAAATTACTTTTCATTCAAATTAGAAATCTCTTCCTATAAATGCAATAAAACAGTTATTTAACAGAAATAATTAGAGAGCTTCCATTGTTGAGTAATTTGATAAGATGAATAATTGGACAACAAATTAATAAATGAAAAAAGGTTTTTGAATGAAACTGACCGAATGAAAAGATGGACAAAAGGGACAAGTGGACAGATCGAAGAAAGTGACAAGTAGACAGATCGAAGCAAATTTGAATTTCGAACAAAAAAAAGCTGCGATAAAGTGGATGAAATTAAAATATCTTTAAATTAAACAGCTTTTTCATTGGTGGATATCTGCTATTAGTGCATTTTACTTTCACTATACCATACTTCAATGATCCACTAATCACAGATAACTTATAGGGATACATAAGGATTATAAGCATCCTAATTATATAAATTTAATCTTTAATTATTGAAAATTTTGTCAAAATTTGATTGTATATCAAATCGTTACAACATATATACCACTGAAAAAAAATAAAATTACTTTGCTATCATTATTGATGAAATGATTCACGAAGAAATAACAAAATTTCTGTTCGTGATATTACGAATGTAGAAATCACTGATAGACGAGGTTAAAAGGGAGTAATTTGATACTCAAAAAAAAAATACCTCATTTCAATAAAAACTTATCTTTCAGGATTGCAACCAAAGTATTGATCGACAGAATTTATAGCACTATTTATTTCTTATCTTAACAAATAAACGGATAACACGACAGGATCGGGAATCTGATCTGAATCAATCAATAATCTACGCAAATGACCATATTTCATACAATGATTTTAAAACAAAAATAACTAAATTCTTTTAATTGATTACATCGTTCATTTATAAAGCTGAAAATGGCAGCAAATGAATGGATGACTTTTTTATCAGTTCATATGCAGGAAAGAAAATAAACAGATATATTGGAATAATAAGATTTGTGGAAAAGAAGAACAATCCTTAACAACTGAGGGATGTCGTCCAAAGGCACTTATTATAAAACTTCCCAATGTTCCTTCTAACAGCTTCAACTTTCACATTAACATTTCTGCTGCTATCGCAGTTGCTATTTGCTGTTTGCTATCAGCTAGCATATCTTACTTAAGATTAGAAGAATTGCTTAGACTAATTGATAGATTGATAGCTTAAATTGTAAGCTATACAGTTAGACAGATATATCTAATGAATGAATGAATGAATGAATTGCATTATAATGGAACAGAAATTCTGAACTATCTTCATATCTCTTTTTAATTCTCATAGTAACTGAAAAAGTTAAGCAGCAAAATTTCAGAGATTGTGTATGTGTGTGTATATCTGTGTTTGTGTGTGTGTGTGTGTGTGTGTGTGTGTGTGTGTGTGTATCTATATCTGTGTATATGTGTGCGTGTGTGTGCGTGTATGTGTATAGATCTGTTCTATCTTTTTGATCTATGCGTATTTACAATTTACTCTGAAGATACTGAAACGCAGGGATAGATATTCACACATTGCCTCTCCCACACAAATTCCACATTTGCAGTCTGCTGTTAATAGTTTAAACCAAAAAGCTTTTACATTTTTCAATAGGATAAGATGTCGTGCTTCCTCGAATTCAATCATCTGTCAGTTGAACAACTGTGTCGACCCTTTTTTTTCTTTTGTTTTCTTCTATATCTACCTGCTGAAGTTAAACCAAAAGCGCTTCCATCTCTTCAACATCATTATTAGCATGCATCTGAAACATGTATTGAGAAGAGGTATACAACATCTACACCTCCCTTTAATATTACACTTTTCCTTCTCCCTCCCACCATCCTTCAAACTTTGGATCAGTTCAAAATCCCAACTGGCAAAAGAGTGGGCAGGCTGGTTGGCGGAATAGTGAAACGACGAAAATATTTTTTTAGTTTTCCTCGATTGATGCTACTTCAATTTGAAATTATTTAACAGCGAGCACGAAAAAAATTCTGGTATTACCTCTAACCCTAAACATTTAACACTTTCCTCTATCCGAAGTAAACGCCTTTGATCGCAAATTACGTCATTTCTTCTAACTGAATAGTGCTAATGTAAATTATCAATTTATAATAACATCATTTGTTTAAACTTCAAATTTATTATTTCTGAAAAGGCTTAGATTTATTTACTCAATTATTTCATTAATTAATTGAGCAAAATTTGAAAAGAAAAAGGTAAATAGGATGTGAAATGATTTTAAATGGAATAAATGAAATAAGATAAAGGTAAAGAAATTGACTGCAAAATCATAAAATATCGATTATGACATGTCCTTCCTGCCGGTATGCGATCATCGCTCTAACTGCGAGATTTTAAGTATTGATAAAATCAAACCTTCATAATCAATATCACTTAAAATCTTCCAAATCTTTAAAATTTTTAAAATTTACCTATTTTAAAAACTTTACAAGGTAAAGTTAAAAATTAATTCGGAAGTTTAGAGTGAAGTTAAGACTCCAAGAAGGTCAACTTGATTTGATTACGATTAAAATTTTTTGCATGAAAGTTTTGGAAGTTCGATGTTCTGAATTCGGCAATTTTCGAAAACGGAAAATTTTTCATTTAATTATTGCTTTAATCCAATAGTATAGAACAATAATGCTGAAGAGCTTACTTTGATTAAATTTCAAAACGCTACCTCTAAAATTTGAAGTTCAACTTGATGAGATTGCTTTTACAACATTTTTACAAGACGATATCAGTATTATATTTAATTATATGTCTGCTTTAAAATGAAAAAGTTCACTAAAATTATAATTTGATGGTTGAAGAATAATTGTAAGTCGAACACAAAGCTAATTTTTTATTCAAAGACAAAAATTTATAATTCAAAATTATAAGACTAATATTGTAAGACTAAAATCAAACCGTAAATATAACTGACAATTAGGGATGAAATTTATCAACGTTGAAGAGACAGCGAATGTACGAAAGTTATTTTAATTAAGTAGTGCTAACGATAAGTCATTGTAATCAATCTTTTGTCGTTGTTTCATTTTAGTGAAATATTGCACCAAACCTCCCAACATCACAATTTTTCCAGTAAGAGCAAATATCGTTGCATGCGCCATATTCTGAATGAACCATTGCCCAATGCTTGCAATCCAGAATTTAGTCTGTTCCAAAACCATAAAATGATAAGGTGTGAGATTGAGTTGTAACCATATCTCAGAGTATTTATAATTCGGCATGAATATTATTGACATCCCAATCAATAACTGAAATGAAAGAACTCATGCAGAAGATATTAAAAAAGATAGTACTAACTTTTTCCAAGGTCAGGTTTACTAAGGAATTATTTAAGAATAGCACTTACGAAATCGATCGATTCCCATGAAGCATCAGCTGAAATTGTTGAATTGATCCAACTGTAAAATGCTGGAATTAGTAGACCGATTGTTGTCAATCCTGAAAAAAAAAGTTCGGAATTTTATCATCAAGGCTGTGACATTGCTGCAATTAGTTTCTTTATGACAAATTGCAATCATAATTGGCCAAGTTGCTAACTTTTCAGTAAAAGCTATTTTTTCACAATTGAATTATTTTCATGTTATTTTACTAAAAATTTGGTAAGAAACTTGACACTCAAATACGGATAATTTAATTTATTTAAATATAATTTAAATATAATATTTAAATATAATTTAAATATAATATTTAAATATAATTTAAATAATTTTTGTTATCACACTATCACTTCAGTATTTCAGATCTTAATATCGCATAGATATGCTATTTAGTAACTTAAGATAAAGTGATTATCAGTTAATCGATGCTGTCTTTAGCAGTAATACAGCATTAAGTTAATCAATTAATATCTAAATATTAAAAGATAAGATTTTTGTTATCACTTCACCTGTAAAGTAGAGGATGAATGTTTCTGGCTGGTTGATATTAAGAGTATGATAACATTTTTGTATTTGCAACAATTGAAAACCTTGCAAGATGGCTAGAATAGGTGCAAGAATGAGTGAAATTGTTTCATATTCGATGATGCTAAACTCCAACCAACTTAATGATCCGCCAAATGCAATTGGAATCTGAAAATTTTAACTTTTGGACTAAATATGAAAAAGCAGAATTTTGAAGAAGACTTACTTCATTATTACGTCAAAATCACAAATAATATTGTATTAATTATAATCCTTTACTGCTCATTAAATCTCATTTTAATAGACATATACATTTGAGTTACTGCCTGAATATGTTTAGCTATCATTTGGTGAATTTTTTAGAAAAGTTTGTAAAGTGCTGCAATTCATAAACGACGAAGTATATATTTTTATATCAGAAAAAAACTGATGGACAGTTTACCTAAGCAATTGTGTTAAGTTAAACG